GAATCGTGGGCTGCATCAAAAGAAGCGTGGCCAGCAGGTTGAGGGAGGTGATTCTGCCCTTTTGCTTTGATGAAACCCCACCTGGAGTACTACATCCAGCTCTGGAGTCCTCAGTACAGGAAAAGTGTGGACCTGTTGGAATGGGTCCAGAGGAGGGCCACAAAAATGATGAGAGAGGTGGAAGACCTCTCCTATGAAGAAAGGCAGAGAGGGTTGAGGTTGTTCAGCCTGGAGAAGAGAAGGCTTCAGGGAGACCTTATTGTGGCCTTTCAGTAAAGGGGGCTTATAAGAAAGATGGGGAGAAACTTTTTTGTAGGGCCTGTTGCAATAGGACAAGGGGTAGTGGTTTTAAACTAAAAGAGGGTAGATTTAGACTAGATTAAGGAAGAAATTCATTACAATGAGGGTGGTGGAACACTGGAACAGGTTGCCCAGAGAGGTGGTAGATGCCCCATGCCTGGAAGCATTCAAGGTCAGGTTGGACGGGGCTCTGAACAACCTGATCTGGTTAAAGCTGTCCCTGCTCACTGCAGGGGGGTTGGGCTGGATGATCTCTAAAGATCCCTTCCAACACAAAGCATTCTATGATTTACTAGGTACTTTACTAAGTGAGTAATGTGGTGAGATAAGATGTACTTAGACTTCACTGGTGAGAGAATCATCAGAAATCTTGGGTCTTCTTTCCAGAACTCAGCTCGTGCTTTGAGCTCTAGGCTGCTCTGGTTCAATCCCTCATATGTCAGTCCATAAGCAGTTGTCGCTCACCAACTGCAGTAAAAAATTACATCAGTCATACTCCTAGCAACAGTATGAGAGGCCAGACAAGCAATGTCATTGTGATAGAGTTACAATTATTACACATATCATCTTTTATATGTTGTATCACTTCATCAGTTGTTGCAGCCATAGCCAGAGAATGAGCAAAGCTTTTTGCTGAGCTGTCTGCAATAATGTAGTATCTTTTTCCTGAGTGATGACAGCTAATTTAAAACCCAACCTTAACTAGTTAAGGTTGTTCCTTCCAGTATGAATTACTCCAGTTTTGCTAGCGTTGCAAGTTTCCCAGGCCTGGTGTTCATACTGTTCTGCAGACTGTAGGATAACACCCTTTACTGTCTTCAAATTCTGCTTTAAATGATGCAATTCACATTTGTCGCATCAGGTTCATTCTTCTTTTATCTAGTTCAAGCCCTGAAGTTATGAGAAATGAGAGAAGTGGTTGTATGTATTTTGTTGCAGAGCTTTCTGGTCCTGTTTTAAGTGAAGCATGGGTTTACTTGTTGATGTGCTGTGGGACAGGTAGTAACGCTGCAGTGCCCCCCATGCTTATGGCAGGGAATGCAGGCAGGTCCTCGGCTCTGCTGGGAGAACGTTCCTCATGTTGACCCAGCCCAGAAGGCTCTGCCTGCTGCGCAGAGATTTACCATTCAAAGCAGTCCCTCATACCTAAAGGGAATGAAGTAATTCACAATACTTTGTCTCAGAGTGTTAAGGACTGTTTTGACTCTACCTTTAAATTGCACACCAAGACTTTGACTCGGTGATTGTGGAAAGCTGGTATAGTCACTTGAAGAGAAATTAAACTTTTGGCAGTGTACTGTGTTCCTAAGGACATGCTTTGCTATTCAGGTTTGAGGACATCTCATCTGAGAATTAATCTTTAAACTGATCTTCATAATAATACTGTCTTCACATCTGGATCCCTGGGCACAAAGACCTGGTGCAGTCTTGAAGCAAATGTACGATACTGAGGTTTCTTACAATCTACCACTTGAACTATAAGAGATGTCTCAGAGATGAATGTTGCTGCTTCTGTGCTATGTGTGTGTTGATATTTTATTGAACACTGAGACAACAATCTGTCAACCTAAGCTTTCAAACTGTGCAAAGAAGTAGCCATATGGTTAGGAATTTGTTTGCTGCATTAAACTCCCTCATATCAATATAAGCAAGAAAAGAAAAAATAATCAGGCCATCATTACAACTAAACTGAAAACATAAAACAGTTGCTGCCCTAAGCTTATAAAATTTCTGGGTTCTGCTGGAACTGATTTTTCATCTATGAAATGAAGCCTCTGAAATGTCTGAAGAGAGAGGAGAAAGGGCATTGATTAAAGCCTCCTTGGCATGTACCCAAGTGGGGTTATAGTTCGCATTCAGATCCAACACACCCAGGTTTGAATATAATTTATGGTATCTAATTAGGCTAACTGTATAAACATATCAGGGAATATTATTAGTTAATTCCTGCATCAAGTCCCTAGCTTCAGATTCAGCTATCACCTCTCCTTTAGAAAGATGGTGTGATCCATTTTAAATACTTAAAATGATGAAGAGTCTGCATGTCTTGTCTTCTGTGCCTTGGTTAGAAGAGGGACATCATAAAAAAATTTTAAAAGGGGGAACAAAGAAGACTGTCAGCACTTAGAGTTATATGAAAGGCTTGAGTATGTCCCATTTTAATTCAGAGGTAATTGGAGTTATGCTGATGTGAGCATCAACAAAAGGATCACTGCACCTTTTCCCCCTGATTTTTCTGTTATAATTGTATCTAAGTTATAAAAAGATGTCTCTTTGTGCCATTGTACAGTTAGTTGATATTACTTACTCTACAGAGTGAATTAAAATAATGTATCTGGTTGTGCTGTTAAATTTAGGGGAACAGATTTTATTCCATGATGCATCCAGGTTATCTGAGAATGTGTTCTGACAGTTTATTTTAGCAAAGGAGTAATTGAATTCCCCTAGAGAGTGTTAGCCTGGGAATTGTATCAGCTGTGCTAAATCAATTGGATTATTGAGGCTACGCATTGCATTAGCAATGCTTGTGCAGTACAAATCTTCCAAGGGAAATTATATTTCTTTTCAGCTTCATATTCCAAATTTAAGTTTATCTCATGATAGTTAAATAACGTCCTGCACTTAAACACCTGCACTTAGTAAAGCAATTTTTAAACCCAGGGTTTAAACCCGGTACTGATACTTCATGGTCTGATACTTTAAGCTGTCGACACAGGTAATAGTGACCACCTACCATATCTAAAGGTGTAGAAATCACCCAGCAGTCTGTGCAAATGACACCATAAAAAGAAGAGTGAACTGGAACAAAGCTGTTTTCAAAATGGCAATTCTCATGTGATGTGTTGCTATTCCTTATTGCTGATTTAAAATACAGCAACAGGTTTTCAGGGTTGAACCAAGTTAACACTGATGAAGTAAAACCAGAGATTCTTTAATGTAAATTTATCACACTCCTGCATTTGATATTGTGAATGGTAAAATAGCCCCCAGACACAGATTATATTCTTCAGTATAAATACCTCTGAAGGCTTCGACATTCAGTCAATGAAAAAGAGTAAGGCAAGTCATCCCTGTAGTCACAGTTAAATTTCTAGATTAATAGAAGGGGGATTTACAGTGCAGTGCTGTGAGAGCATATTTACATGCTGAAGACAGTGGGGCAATAATTGATGGTAAGTTCTTAAAGGTACACTCAATGCCGTTTCAAACTTTTCCAGATAAACAGATTATGAGACATTCTACATAGACCAAACTTTGCTTATTTTTAACTCCAGGAGGATTTCTACTGAAGTCAGACTTCAGCTTAACTTTAAGTTAAATTTAGTTTAGCTTAGCTCTAAGTTTTAGAGTTTACTTGGTCTCCCGGCTTTTGTTCGTAATGGAAGTGGCATTGACCTTAAGCCACTTAAACCATGGGCCATTCTGTAACAGAAAGTGTGGGGTCGAAGAGGAGGAAGGAGATGCCGAGATCTGGCTTTCAGTTCTGTAGGGGTTTTGAAGAATGAGGAGCGCTGGGAGCAAGTGCAAGAGCCAGCTTTGGGCTGTCGAACTCTGTTTTGTGAGTGTCATCTGAAAGATGGGGCAGGGGTGTGGTTTGGAGGGGCTGGCTCGTGTCGTTCGCTCAGTGGAGCACAACTCCCTGAATGCTATTTTTGTCACTGGCTCAAGCCAACATTGCCTTGTGGTGCTGCTGTCCTTGCCTGTGGGAACCAGAGCTAACGAGTTTGCCCACAGTTGGCCATAGAATCGAATTTTGGCCAAGCTACCAAAATTGAGTCCTGCATAAATCCTGTGATCCAAGAATCTTGGCTTTCTCTTCTGATAGTCATTTGAGGTTAACTTCACCCTTGTCTGTGTTACACATTGATGTTCTGACATAAGCAAGTCCTCGCTCCTTTTAACAGGTAGATGTCTCCTCTTGAAAAACACCCTGAGGTCAACGGTGAAACATTTTAAATTAATGGGTAATTGGAAATTTAAGGTTATGAAAATTGATGAGTTACTAAGCTGTTCTGAGTAAATTTAGGGCTCAGTCCTCTTCTCATTCCAGTCAACGAAAATGGTGGTATTAAATTACGAGGATTAATCTCAGAACAATTGGCAAAGCTGCTGGCTTGTCTACATGAGGGATTTAGAGCACAGTACCCAAAAGTGGCAGCTCTGAACTTGGAGTCCCATAGGCACGCCACACACATTCCTCATGGAAACCCTTTAGTACCCATTACTTTCAAAGCAAATGCAAACATTCCTTGAACAAGATGTTTCTTGCTGTGCGTTAAGAGTATATGTTCAGTAGGATCATGAAGAATATACAGTGAATTGCAAATGCATGCTCAAGGTTATGACACCCCAACTTCCTTGTGCATGTGAGTCCTAAACTACCTTGCACTTGGTGCACAGTATCGTTGTCTACAGGGAAAATGCATTCGCTATACAGAATTGTTTCCATTATGTAAATTCAGAGACTTAACTATTGCACATTAACTTTTTTGTGTAGGCAAGACCATAATTACATTTTAAATCATGAATTGTCTGTAATCAAAAATAAGCATTGTGGTTGTAGGAGATTGTTGAGCTAATTGGCATTAAGTAATTTGTTCTAATTAGTTATATTCTAAAGGATGAAAGAAAAACTCCTCATAGTGAAGCTGCTAAATTGATCAGTATACTTAATCATCTGTACCTTTTTTTCCAAACAGGCAGGAGAAAAACATTATCACCCAACCTGCGCACGATGTGTCAGGTGCAGTCAGATGTTTGCAGAAGGAGAAGAAATGTATCTTCAAGGTAAAAACAAACAAACAAACCCCTAAAACCAAACCAGTTACACTTGGCAGCATGGCCCTCTTGCCCATGCCTGCTAGCATGGCTGAGCTGTTTTGCACGTATTCTCACTTAATAACTACCAAAGAAAGTGAAGAATGCAACATGTAGGCTAAAGAAAAGCAAAACAAAACTCTTGTTGCTTTTTACTCACTATTACTTCTCTCTCGGTTCCAATCCAATAGCACGTGTTAATCAGAGAAAGGATGAGTGGTAGCAGTTATTTCCTGCAGATGGAAGTACTTGAAAGTGAAGATTATAAAATTTTCCATTTACTAAAAAAATGTGAATTTTTCGGCAGTGGTAAATGGTCCAGATGAAAGTGAATACACATATGGGACAGCAGGTTCCCTAAAGCAGTCCTAAGTCCAGTTTTGTACCCATTGCCCATTTGGGTACAAGGAGAAGATCTAAAGGTCCTTACCTGAATTCCCCTCAGTCAGACCTAGCTGCCCTCAGAGGGTGGAGAAGAGGATGGAGCTGAAGCCCCTACCAGACAATATGCCTATACTCCATGCAGCCATAAGCTTGCATCGCTTAGGAGAAAGCTGTGCAGGGAGAAATTCAGTCTTTCTTGTCAGGAAATTTCAGTGGTAATAGAGAACAACTTACATAATAATTTATTCAATGGAAAAAAGAAAGTTATTTAACATAGATATGAGTTAAAATCTGTATTTCATATGTAGCAACTTTTAGCTGTTCTTTTCTGGTCAAAGAAAACAATGTCTACACGGCTAAATACAGGGTCAGACACCAGAGAAAATGAAGGCTTTTGCCTATGTCTTTGACCGGCAGTATCTTTTCAAAGGAAAACAGAAAAGAGAAACTCGGTAGGATGTGGGAACTGCAAGGCTGGTGTATTACCCTAAAATCACATGCTTGCCCAGATCTGTATTACAACTTTGCAGTTGTCCACAGTCTTCTAGAAGCATACTTTGAAATCATTCATTAAGCTGGAAAAGTTAGACTTTATTTAAAACACAATAGTGGTCTCAGTAAGATCTAATTATAATTTAGTACGTTATTTAAAATGACAATTTTATTGTCACTTTGGTTTGCAACAAGAACTAGCTCATTAAAGGACATAATGATCCTTGTCTGTGCTCATGGATTCTCCCTGAGGAGCCAGAAAATGCTGTGGTTCTTCCAATTGCAAAGAGGCTTAGCAGTACTAAACCCCCCTGGGAAATCAATGCTTTAAAAAAAGACATCAAACTACAAATTTGTTTCTAGATTTCAAACCCTCTGAAACTGGGTTGCAAGTGAATCTTCTTTTTAAGTTCAGTTTGTTATAAGGGTGGATATTTGTTAGGTTTTGTCCTGAGTTGTAGTTCAAATAATCGCAAAGTATGCTCAGGTCCTGCTAATTTGGACCCATCTTACTCACTTTATTTTCTGATGCATGAAACATTCATACCAGCTTACAGTCATACACTTTTTGTCTTCACACGAAGAGCAGTTTCCATTAGAAACTGGTGTTAACTTCACGGAAGATCTGTGATTAGGTATTTGAACTGTCTGACCTGATGTGTTAGATAAAAAATGTCAGAGCCCAGGGTTTTATAACTTGTTGTTCATCCTCTTAATAAACTACTGTAAAGTTCCCTTAGGTGTTGCATGTTCCTTATTAGCAGAAATTGAGTGATCAGTGGTCATCCAACAGATGCCTTTTGGGTGAAAGGAATCTTTTTCTTCTGTGTGAGAAAGTTTCCCACCCAGTTTTGCTTGACCACAGATAGGAGTAAGTAAAAAACAGTTGCTCTAAATACTTCTTAAAACCATTGGGAAGATTTGCATCAACTTACGCAGCAACTGGGACAAGTGCTTTCAGTGGATAATCTCAGACCCACTCATAATTGGAAGATAAATTAACATTGAATTTAAAGGTGCTATAAAGATGTTTCTTAGTCGTTCAGTCCCCACAAACTTCAGTAACTTAGTAAACATAATTCATCCGGTCTGTACTTATAGATAGTCTTTTACTGCTTGAGTCTGTGTTCATCTGGGTTATTTTTGTGAAATAAACTCCAATGATCTCCGTCTGTCTTCTGGGAAATAGACTTTCTGTTTCTATCTCATTTCCAAAATCCACTGGTTAGAAAACTATCAAATTGCTGTGAAAACAAAGCATTTCCAATAAATCTTCTTGGTGCTCTCCACCCAGTATAAACATCAAATATTTATAACACAAAAGTTCTCAACTTCCTATTTGGTCAGGCAGAAGTTGCAGTGCACTCACATTATTTAACTGTGCGGAGCTTTAGCTTGTGGCTTGTCTGAGCTCAGACTGGCGTAAACATAAACGTTCCTTTTTACTATTAAAATTTATGAATATTTTTTTAAATTTTGTATAGTCACATACATTCCACTTCCATTGAACACTGAATATTGAACATTGTGTTCAACTTTTCAAAAGGTGGGTTTTTTTTCCTTTCTGACCGACAAAACTATTGTTTCTTTTTTACATTTATGGTTACTTATATCTCTGGAGTTCATAATCCTCTCTTCAGTACTTACACGAAGTAGAGAATTGGTTCACTCTGTATTTCCTGCTTCCTCTAGGATGGATATTCTCCTGAATTTATGCAGTTCTTTACTATTTGACATATAAGAGACAAAGATATAGGAAGTGCAATACAGTGCAATACAGTGCAATACAGTACAGTGAATAATTCAGAAAGACAGACTGGATTTTCAGCTAGTGTTAAATGCCACAATGCTATTCCATCCCATCACAGTGTGCTACTTAGTACGACCTGGGACAGACTATTACAAGAATATGTATAATAAGAGTACAGGAAATTCTGACTATGTATAAAGAAAAAAAAACTTACAATGAGAGTGGCACAGGTTGCCCAGAGATGCTGTGGGATCTCCACCCTTGGGGATATGCAGAACCCCACTGGGCACAGCCCTGAGCTGCCTCAGTACCGGGGTCTGCTCTGAGCAGGAGGCTGGGCTGGAGGAGCTCCGGAGATCCCATAGCACCCTTCTTAGGATGCAGGTTTTGACTGACGTCCACGTGGCTTTCTGAAGCGTGCCTAGTCTCAGGTGTGTGTGAGCAGGCTCACTGACGCTGAGGAGTCGTCGGTTTTAGCTTTGAAAGTGTCCATGAAACAGTGACTGCGGTGGGATCAGTCAGTGTGCTGTGTCTTATAAAATCTTATACGAAGGTTTAATAAGGTTCTTATTTTAAACCTTTTAAGGTTCTTACTGGGGAACTGAATTAAGCAGAACTTTAAATTTACTTTCCAGGTACATCCATTTGGCATCCAGTTTGTAGACAGGCTGCAAAGGCTGAAGAAAAAAACAAGGTAAAAATACCTTATTGTTACCCAGTATTATTCCATTGTCATATTATTCTGTATCCTTTTTTTTGTGGCAGGCATGGACGGAAGGATTTAGAATTTTTTCACTACTGTAATATTAAATTTTAAATGACAGAAATCTAGTAGGTTTATGTAATGTAATAATGTACTATAAATATTCTACTTTTACTTAGTGATTAAAACTACAGCTTCAAGAGAATGCTGACCTAAGAGTTATATGTATAAGCTGAATAAGGAAAAATGTGAAAATATGAATAAGGCAAAAAAAAGTTAATTTTTAACTTCTGTCTGATTATGATGTGATCAGTGCATGACCTCTTCTCTTTTTATGTGGGTCTGCACTTAAAAGATCAGAGGACTTTCACTTTATTTGTTTTTACAAAAAAAATCTCTCCTTGGAATTTCTTTTTTATTATTTGTTTTTAAAATGTTGGCAAGCCAGCTCCAACTTAATTTAATCTCTGACTTTAAGTACCTCCTTAAGTTGGATGATTTGTACATCTGTCTGTGTGCATGGGGAAAATGGGGGAGTTCTGGCAACTTTAATAATTACAAGGTTAGCAGATGAATAAGCTTGCCCCTAGGAAATGAAGAATTAATCTGTAGCTGGGGAAATGATCCCTCTGAAGTGGTGGGACTGAGACGCAACTATCTCATTTAATGCAGAGGCCAAGTATGGGGTTTTTCAGTTCTGCTGTTCTCTGATGCTCCAGGTGGTATCCTTGTACCCTGGTATCCTTGTTTGTAAAAGCTCTGCTTTGATTCATCAAGGCTTGGACACAAGGCACATGGGACAAGTCAGGGCAGCAGCTATAAAAAGAGTGTTTACAAATCTGGTGTGCTAGCAAGTGCAACATTGACTAAATTACAGTTTTGAAAAAAATTTGGTTTGGGCTTTACCCTGAAGGATCTTGGCTGTATTTTTTGTACCCATGTGTGTGGGAAGTGATTGCTCTGGTATTCTTCATGGCGAGCTCTGAATATCAAATAAGTTGCATTTCAGTATAAAATGTATTGTTTAATACATGTGTATTTAAAATTGTCAAAATACTTTAATAAGCGTTGCTGATTCAGCCTGATACTATTAAGCAGTATTTGAGGCTTCCTAAGGATTTTATTCTGGCTGAGTAACTGAAATTGCAAGGCTAAAACCCCATGTAATTTATTGAAAATGTAGTAGGGTTTGGGGGTTGTTCTTCCCTCCTTCAAAGAAAGACAGCAGACAAGATTGTACTGGGTTCCTACTTGGCTGCCTTTTCCTCACAAAGAAAGTGTACTTGTAAGCTATTGTGTAAAGGCTGACTCATTTATAACATATCTCTCCTGAGCGCTGAGAGAGCGCAGAGCGCAGAGCCTCTCTGCCCCTTCCCCAGCAGAGAGGAAGACATCCGTATCTGAAAGTCAGTGGGAGTTTTGTCTGAGTAGGGAAGAAAAACAGAATGAATCTCAAAGAATTTTTCCAAGTCTAGTCATTTTTCCTTTTCTTTGGGTTTTTCCTCTTTTTTTTGGTCTTTACGCTCATTATTGAAAAAATAAACCAAGAGGAAAGGATGCTGTTTCACAGAGGGTAGTAATGGACTTTTCAACATAACCTGTAAAGTTGGGAATGGGATATTCTGGTTGAGAAATTATCTGGTCAACCTTTGCAGTTTGTTGGTTTTAAAAGTTATCTTTCTATATCATTATATAGATATATTCACAGCATGTAATTAAAGTAGGTGACAAAGGCAGAAGGAGTAAGTGGCAGCACACTCCAGAACTTTGGAGATGGAGTGGAAAGGAAAAAGGAGTTGTGAAAGAGAGTGACAGCAAAAAGAAAAATGATGTCTAGGGACATCCTGAAAAAGAAGTGTGGTTTGCACATGACATCAGTGCATTGATGACACTTTTATGTCATTTACACAAATTCTGGAAAATCACAATGTGCTTTAACTATGCAGAAGAGCAACGCAATTCCACTGTCCATGTTGAATGGTCATCGCAATGGCAGCCACAAGTATTTCTCAGAGAATACTCTATTTCCATGCTGGTGTTTGGCTTGTCCCCTCAGACCTTCTGAGCTTGTCTAGAGCCTCAGTGTGTGACAACGGAAAATGAGAGGGAGAAAATTCCAAAATCCTAGTCAGACATACCGAAACAATTAAACTGAATCTTTTTTATATGGATAAGTATCTCCACTTTCTCAGAGAAATTCATAGGACTATTTGGGCTAAAGAAGGTCAGTGGAAGGATCGCTGAGTTTGTTTGCTCTGCTAACACAGTACAGTACAGATATATTCCCATATTGCTCCTAAAAGGTAGGAAATACTTCAAGTAAAGACTGGAGTAGTAGGAAGGATGCTACCTTGACCTGACAGCTTAATAATGCTAAAATGCTTTTAAGGGTTTGAACAGTTGTAACCTTCAGGTGAGAAGTGTCAGCATTTGGTGAGACAGTAAATGATGGTCATTCTGAGCGCATGGAAAAATATGTACTTTTTGCAGTCAAGGACAGGTTTCTTCCATAGATGGGAAAGAATATTTTATGATGAATTAACGTATCTGAATAAAAGAGGGTATTAAACCATTGATTTCATAATAAGATTTGTTTAAACTTCAATTATGAATGTCAGGTCGGTTCACTGATGGTTAATATTGTGTCTCACAACCCTTTTTTATTTAAAAGTAATTATATTTTTCTTCATAAAGGAATCTACCAAAAAGAAAGCAATAAGGTCTGTCACTCTGAATGCCAGAATGATTGAAAACAGAGCAAAACCAGTTGAGTATTAAAACTAATCTGGTAGTCTTACACTCAGAGAGGGGAAAGCTAACCCCTTGGGTGCCTGATTCAGGATGCTCTGCAGGATGTCATGCTGTTTGCTATGAGGGAATGACACGTTCCAGAAGCAATGTAGTTTGGTTTGATGGTGTAACCTCAGAGTAAAAATGCTGCCACTGTATCATCTTGTGACCCCAGACTCAGAGCTGCTGTAACTTGCCCTGTCCCTAATAGTGCCCAAAGGCTGTCCTGGCAGCCCAGAAGTGCTCCAGGCCATTTCATTCTGAAGTGAGGGGAAAAGAAAGTCATATGTAAAATCATTTTTACATTTTCGAAAGGTCAGTTTGATTGACTGCAGGTGTTCTTTTATTTTGAAGTCTTTGGTATGCCTGTATGTTTTGAGCTTGCTGTAATATGCCATTTTTGAGTGGTAAAGGTTACATTAAATTAAATGTCTTGCACGCTCTTTTTGAAGTAACAGTTACATTTTCTCTCCCTCTCCTCTATTTCTTATGTGTTTCACTTCTCCTGCCACAGGAAACGAGGACTTCCTCTGAGAGTATTATTTCCGTACCTGCTTCAAGTACATCAGGTTCTCCAAGCCGTGTGATCTATGTGAGTATTTCATGGTGAAATTTGTTCTGGGGGGTTGGGAAAACCCCATGCTTTCTCCTACAGTTTAGCACGTTGTGTGGAAAGCTGGTGTCTCCAAACCACTGCAGTTGGTGATTCCTCTAAAATGGAATTTACTTTCTCACGATTAAAATGTTTGAATACTGCATTTACCATAACAGAATTCTGGCAGTTTCATGTTATTTTTTGTGGTGTATTTATAGCACTTACATTACCACTAGAGCTGGCTTATACCAAAGCATGCAAAATACCACAGTGCTTTCTAAAAAGAAAAGTTTAAGTAAACAGTGCAGCCCACAGGTAGATTACAAGCTTAGATTTGAACACAACTTGTCTAAATCGAGCTCTTGAGCCTGCATCTGATTGCTTATGAAAACACTCGTGCGTGCAATTGCAGGACTCGGGCCTTGACAAATGCCAGTCACTAACCTCAGAGGACCTTTGATGTGTTTCTGGTTTAAGAAGTGGTAGCTCTGGAAAGCCCATAGAGAGAATTTAAAATAACAAGTATGATAAAAGCTTGTGCTGAGTATTTTTTTCAGTACCAGGTGTACCTTGGTTGTCATAATTGCTGTAGCTGATGTTCATGGCCAAATTCTCAAGGCTACCGCCAACAGATAAAAAATATCATAGTATCATAGAATCGTTTAGGTTGGAACAGACCTTTATGATCATCCAGTCCAACCTAACACTACCAAGTCCACCACTAAACCAGTTAAGGGTAGAGTAGCAATTTTGTGTTTCCTGGCTTGGTGTCTGGATTATTTTTAATGAAAGTAAAAACTAAGAATCATTAAGATTGGAAAGGATCTCTAAGATCATCAGTCCATATTGACAAAAGTGGCATGTTCTATACAAACATCTCTTGGAGAGCTTCGGTATTCCCAGGTCTATTCTTTGTCCTGTCCAAGTGTCCCTCAGGAAGGCAAGTCGTTCTCATTGGGTAGGACCATATGCAGAGGAAATTGCTGGAGATGTGATTGACTGCCAGAAAGGTTACTATATGAAGATTAAAGGCTTTTATCTACCATGCTGAGACAAGCAAAACAGTGCCTTGGAGCCAAACATGTCTTCTTTCTTCAAGTAAAAGTTATTTTGAACTCGGTATACCCTTTATCTGAGTAAGACTGAGCTAGAAGTGTAGGAGCTGCCCCTTATCTAAGTCAGTGTTTCTGAGTTCTCCTTCCGGCAGAGCTCTGTGCTGGTGGATACCAGTGGTATATTCACAGTAAAAAAATGTTGTTGCCTCAACTCCTACAAAGAGAATTCATTGTGGTAGGAGCCTAGTATCATGTAAGCACTTTCTTTGGCCAGATGGTCTCTATCTCTCCAGCCAGGCACCACTTCATTGTTTTTATAAGCATGAACATTCTTCTAAGATTTATATGTTTTTAGTGACATTTATCTAACTGTTGGATGGTACTACTTTCCTTGATGTTTCTGATTACGACTTTAAATATGCTTCACAGGCTGTTAAAAGTCAAGGGCAAGCCTCCATTTTCTTCTATTTTTTCAAAGGATATCATTAAATTAGCACACAACTCTAATGTTTGTTACTGTAATATACTTTAGAGGCAGCTGGGACTGTGAAAGAATAAAGTTCTCTAGCAAATATGAGTCAATTAGGAAAAATAATTCTCCAGAGGCGTGCATGTTCTTGCTATATCTGTCTCATCTCTGACCGCTTAATTGTCAGAAAGCTGTGAGATTGATTAAACCCTATTTTGGCTTTCATGAATAGGAAAGTAAAAAGAATTAAAAACATGTTATTGGACTTCTATATTATCAAAATGATTATTTGGCTATCTTTTCCATCTGTTTTTTATTACAAGAGTGTTACGACATACAGACATGCTCAAGATTTGTCTTGGGTGCTTTCACGATTGTTTTTAACAGACCTAAATTCATGCTGCCACTGAAAGGAAGGTCCCACCCACATGTGGCCCTGTCTTTCTCCAGCCATGTCTTCCCATCTCCACTTTGTTGCTAGTACTAGAGGGTACAAAGAGATATGATCGGTCAGACTTGAAACCAGATTCAGCTAAAAAGTAACCCAGGAAAAACCTCCAGCCAACCAAAGAGGCATAAAAGACCCAGCCGTCTACGTGTCTCTAATGCTAACGTAGAAGGCTGAGCAGAGTGGGAAGGCGCACACAGGACAGCCGCTTTCAGGAGTAGCGTAGATTCAGATCATTAAAACCAATAGTAAATCTGTACCTCAACAACCCGTGAGCTCTGTATCATGTTGAACAAAAGAGAATTTAGAGAAAACGGTTAAAGCTTAGGAACCGTGGATTCGTGGTGCTCAGACTCTCAAAGGCATCAAGTCAGAGCAACGCAGTCATTCTGAACAACGCGCCATCTCGTGGGACACGTGTTTCTGGGTCATGGTTGAGCTAGGATGTGTTTTGACTAAACCTGAGTGTGGTTGATACAGATGGTTGACTAAAGCCATACCACTTTTTCTTCATCTGTTGATATCAGACTTTGGTGTTGTCTTGCACTGAGAAAGGGCATAGGCCAATGCCCTTTGAAGTTAATGGGCATCTTTTCATTAACTTTAGCGATGGCTTCATTATATCCAGACTGAAATTTACCCCAGTGCAGACGTCCCTTCAGAGTTCCTAAATTCCACTTAAAAATCAGTTAATTTCTAAATTGTGCAATTAAATAGGGCTTAAATAAAAGTCCTTCTTTATACTTAGCTAAATTTTATGAAGAGAGAATTAGGAGCTCCCTGCAAAGATATATCTATCTGGAAGGTTTAGGCTAGGTTACATAGCTGTGTTGTACGTTCTCATACTAGGAATAGAAATCACATTATATTTTTATACAGGATCGTATTTGCAATTATACAATTGTAAAATTACATATTCCAAATGAAATAGATACTCTAAACTTGGAGCGTGGTTTTAACAGAATCCAAAATACCAGATTATTGAAGAAATGGCTTAAAGCCTCTTAGCTGTAATTTGAGCCTTCCCTAACATATTTGAATTCCAGTCACTTATTTGAAAGTAGGTGAAACAAATAAAATAAAAAACAATGTAGGCTACGTCTTTGTAGAATTGGGTATTTTGAAAGCAGCTGTATCTCTACAGTGTTTTTTCAGCCAAATTTGCCTACATTTTGATATTTAAACTGAAAGGAATTACATAACTAGTTTTACTCCTGACAGTTCTGAAGTCTAGTGGGAGGATCTCAATTTGCACTTCTACGTGGAGAGATAGGGGCTAAAATTACCATAATTCACATTTAAATATTCCCAATTCTGAACTTCTTTGGGTTCACTAAAATAAGCTCCACAACCCTGGATACCTTAAAAAAGAAATTATCCCAGCCTCCTTGGCCTTCCTGGTAGGTACAATGCTGCCTAAAGTCTTCCTGGAACAGACCTGATGAACAGACTACTCCTTATCTTTGCATGACCTGTCCCTGCATCAGAGCATGCCACTGGCTTCTCAGTAGGGAGAAATTTATTTTCATTAAGAGGCTATTTCATTGCTCTTTAGCTTCTTAAAGTAGCTGCAAGGAAGGTGAGATTTGTAGATCACTAAAGAATCTCATATTTGATTAAAACACATTTTTTCATTAGTTTTGAGGATGAGAATACGTGATGGTTATGGCAGCTTTGTTCCACTTTCTTAGTTAAGAGGAAACTTCCTCTTTTCCGTGTTGCTTACATTTGCACAAATTCATACATTGTTTTAGAAAAAGGGATAAATTAAAGTTGTCACACTAAATTATTACTGTATAACCCAATAGAAAACTTCCCTGCAAAATCAATTAAACTTTTCTTAGCTCCTACTAAGAAAAAATATAATCACTGCACACATAAATCCTGGATACTTTCATATTTTTGCATGTGTAAAACATTCTTACAGTTTTACAGCTGATCATACTGAGATGTTTAGAGAACAGTGAGATTCACTCATCATTTTGTTGCCAACAAGAAGCTTATCATTCTGCAAAGCCTGAACTGGGAATGAGACGATTATGCTGCCCATTTCTCCACACTCAACTTGTATCTACAGTACAATATGTGCTGGGTACCGTTTTGGTGCAAGTTACCATTATCCTAAGGATAATCTGTCCAAATGCAGCATTTTGATAATTATACTTTTTGAATAAGTGTAGTAAGAGGAGAATGGGGAGCAGCAATACAGCGCTTTCCCTCTGTTGGCTGTGTGAATCTCATGAAAGGATTTGAACTTTACTTAAGTGGCATCTGTGATCTTCCAGCTAATCCACCATGGTGCAAATCCATCATCTGCTGGTTTGTGACCCATAATTAAGGGGTACTTAGACATAGTCAGGAAAGGAGGTGAAGCTGTGGGACACAGCTGAATGGAAAAAAATTAAAGACCTGACTGATGTTTTTCAGCATCTGGAAAGTATATGTTGGAAACGTGAATTTGATTATTCACTCGTGCTTATGGTGGGGGAACCCTGCACACCGAAACCACTTTAAAATGAAGGGCTTTTTGACTGAAAAAGACTACAATATCTGTCCTGCATGTGTCTCTGAGCTAGCAGGATAGAAGCAGGATATAACCAAGGGAACTGGAATGGTGCCATGCTACTCCTATTAGCCAAATCTGAATGACAAAGAGAAGTAGAAAGCACCAGTATATAAAAAGAAAACAGCGGTAATATTTAGCACTGTGTAGTAAATACAAGAGATTTAAATGTGCACAGACAGGAAAAGTGGCTTATTACTATGATGATGACTTTTCTACCTATATGAATCTGTCCTTTTCTGATTGCATGCTGATCATATTCTTTCTTATTCTCACTGCTTTCTTTCCTCCTTTTCTTAGGCAAAGCTTGGAGATGAAATTCTTGACTACAGGGATTTGGCTGCTCTTCCTAAAAATAAAGCCATCTATAATATTGACCGCCCAGATATGATCTCCTATTCTCCATATATCAGTTACTCTTCAGATGACAGGCATAGTTATGGGGAGGTACTGAAACATGGGTATTTTTTTACTATGAATTTGAGATTTTATGTGCATTGTTAAACGTGCTGCCGAACACTCTTAAACATGTGTGTAATTTTTAAAAAAATTATGATTTCAGTTAATTGAATCATGTCATCCATTCATTCACAAGGCATTTTAGCCTTCCAAAACCAAGCGAGATATTCATTTCACTTTTTAGTTTGTGAAAATTGAAGAATTGCATTCTATGATCATTTTTTAAACAGATGACATGTAATAAAAATATGTTTTTCTATGAGAGGAGTTCTGCATGTATGTGGTAGGAAACAGGAGCCATTGCTAATTATAATGCAAAAATCAGAAGCAAAGCCAAATGTCTTTCATGATTTTTTTTTTTTAAAGTGTACCATGTTATTTTGGTAACACAACAATGGTATCACTTTCCTACAGACAAATTTCTTTCAACTGTCCCTTACTAAAGTTCATCCTCATGTCACGCATGCGTTTCAACCTATTCATATGCAGAGCTAATATTACGCAGTTTGTGCTAATGAAATCTAATTTAACATAATCTTACTAATTCTGTTTTTTGTGAAGCATATTTGTATATAACTCCTGTCATGCAAGTTAGCTTTTCTTCCCTAACCATATCTACCTTTTGTTTGAATTTCTGATTTCTTTTATAATTTTAGATACTTTTTTACAAATCAAACCTCTTACATATGCTAGGTATATTATCAAGATATATATGGTCTAGAATGGAAGTCTGCATTATTCTCTATAGGTGTAAGTGAATGGGTAGAAATAAATACTATAAATAATAGCCATACTGTTTATAATAGCCCCAGTCCTGCTATCACTTACACCTTTTACACTTAATCTGCTACTAAAGTCTCAGGTAAAGTGCAGCACATATGTCAGATCTTGCAGACTCTCTTCCAAACCCTCTCTGTACTATGCTGAACCAGAGTAGCTCTATTATAATGCATGCTAAAAGAATTAAGATTGTATCTGATAAAGGCTTTAAATGGTATTTAGGTTTCTGAATTCACAAAACTGAAAGCTGCTTGCTAGCCCTGAACATATGGAGTATGAACATTTCCTTCCTATGTCAAAATTTCTGGGTGCTGATTATGGTTGTGGCCCTCCTCAACTGCCCGTTTACATCTAGGCTTGGCAGAGGTGCCATCTAGGCTTGGCAGAGGTGCATAGACTACGCAATCTTCTGCCCAGCTCCTGGGAAGACTCACTCATTGCACCCACTCCAAGGTGACGGTTATAAAACCATCGCACCCAGCATAAATCTGTGCTGTTGCTGGAGGGACTTTCCCCTGCCTGCCTTCAGTAGCTCCTTGGCCACTTGCTTCTACTCCTGTCCTTTGCCAGAGCAAGCGTCCATGTGGCTGTGGTAGGACTTAGGTTTCTTCTGAACCCCTGGCATGATGTGACTCCGTGCCATCACTTGAAGGGTGGAGATTCCATGGGTGGGACAACGCCTAGGTTTCTTCTGAACCCCTGGCATGATGTGACTCTGTGCCATCACTTGAAGGGTGGAGATTCCATGGGTGGGACAACCACCTGGTGGTGTGGTGAAACTGCCTGTCTTGGTGGCAGCCCGGCTTTTGCTGGGACCCAGCGGCTGAGAGCTGTGGGAACCTCAGCATCACACTTTCAGGAGTGGGATAGAAGGTAGTTGCAGTTGAGCTCTAAAAAAACCCCAACCAACCAAAGAAATAAAATCACAGCAGAGAGGGTATTGCCACTGTCACCTGCTTTTAGTGGGTAGTTCAGTGATGAGACCATGATAGGAGGGGTTTATTGGGACGGGTTTATTGGGACAGCTGGAATCATTGCCCTTTTCAGTAAACATGTAACTTAGCAGAAGATAAAAGGGAACACATCATGAATGAGGGCCTTTTCCCTTGGGGCTGTAAAAGACACAGCATTTGCACCACCAGCTTAACACTGTCTCAGGTAGGTCTGTGCTGATGTAGGCATTCATGTCAGCAAGACCTCAGTGATATTTTAAAAAATAAAAAAGTGGGGTCCACTCATCTGTTTCTAGGTGCCTAAACCAGGAGGGGATTTTGGGCTGTGCTCACAAGCCAGCATGCACATTTATGTGGTGCTCGATACGTCCTTGATGTTGCCAGGGGGAAAAAAGATGGTAGAATTATAGAATATCTCGAGTTGGAAGGGACCCATAAGGATCATCGAGTCCAACTCCCTGCTCCTCACAGAACTACCTAAAACTAGACCATATGACTAAGAACGTCATCCAGATGCATCTTCAACTCTGACAGGCCTGACGCTGTGACCGCTTCCTTGGGGACCCTGTTCCACTGGCCGACCACCTTCTCAGTGAAGAACCTTTTCCTAATGTCCAATCTGAACTTTCCCTGACGCAGCTTCATTCCATTCCCTCATGTCCTATTGCTGGTCACCAGAGAGAGGAGATCAGCACCCTGCCCTCCGCTGCCCCCTTTGAGGAAGTTGTACACTGTGATGAGGTCACCCCTCAGCCTTCTCTTCAAGCTGAACAAACCAAGTGACCTCAGCTGCTCCTTGTAAGTCTTGCCCTCAAGACCTTTCACCATCTTGGTCGCCCTCCTCTGGACACACTCTAGTAGCTTGATGTCCTTCTTATATTGAGGTGCCCAAAACTGCACACAGTACTTGAGGTGAGGCAGCACCAGTGCAGTGTAGAGTGGGACAGTCACCTCCTTCAGCTGGCTAGCTATGCTGTGCTTGATGCACCCCAGGACATGGTTGGCCCTTTTGGCTGCCAGGGCACACTGTTGACTCGTATTCAACTTGCCGTCAATCCAAACCCCTGATCTCTTTCTGCAGGGCTGCTCTCCAGCCACTTGTCCCCCAATTTGTACATACGTATATCCTGACTTCCAAATTTCAGCATCCTGGCTACACCTGTAGCTGCAATAGTTTCAGTAGATTTCTGCTTGACTAACCAAGCTTAGCCTTTAATTTTGAAAGGAAAATGAAAAAACAGCAAATTTTCAAATTACATGATATTTAATTAAAAATTAAATAGTACAGATATTTTTCTTTCCCTTAAAATATCCAGCTCTGAGCAACAAAATTCTAGTCCAGGTTTTGGAGCTGCTTCAATGCAAATTTAACTAGGGCTTGTGTCTAGTTTCAGGCAGTTGCTTTAAATGTGAGTTTCCCTACTAGCAGCACTCTCTGTGGTACAGTACTGGCCTCACCAGACTCCAGGATTTTGTAGTAAAGAAACCAACAAAAGCTTTATGTGAAATTATTTACATCTTATTCCTTATTTACTTCTTTAAAAACAAATAAAAATTGCCCTAACTTAATTGACAGGTGTTTTTCAGAAACTGTATTGTGTTATACATGGATACTGATATTTTAAGAGTAGTTCTTCTCACAAGTAACATCATGCATGACTTTGTATCACTAATTTGTTGTGTGTTGCTGTTTGCAGTCACCTCAGTTGCTCTCTCCAACAACTACTGAGGTAATCCCTAATGCCTTTGTTCTCCTCTTCTGACCCATTTTGTGATGCATAAACCTGGTCATATTGATAACCAGCAGCGTCTGAAATGTGGGGTTTGCCTCCTGCCTCTACAGTGCATGGGGTTTTATAATTTATGTTTTTCACAGTGTTACTTGTGTTGAATATGTGCTCTGCTTCTGGATTGTCATCTGTATGCATCTGTCTCCACTGTCATCCATGTTTCTGCTTTCCAAAATAAAGGTTGTATTGTGGTCACTTCTTCAAGCTCTACTAAATAAATTACCTTCGGAAATATGATTTATGTTTACATTTAAAGCTGCCAGCGTGAATTGACTTGAATTTATGCTTGGCATAGCTTTCTCTTCTTTTTTATTTTTATTTTTTTATTCCACAAATAGTTAAACTATTTATACTATTTGTGCACACATACTGTTAAAACATTTGCACAGCCAGTTATTGTGTCAAGAAACATCAGCTTGGAAGCTGTGAAAGTATTTCACATAGCTTCCCAGATAGTAACTCAATTACATATCACAAGCCTGGCTAATTTCTCCATTATCCCAATTTTACATTAAGAGAACTGCATTGCAAAATTTTGGTTACAGTGGAGAATTGCGAATTTTCATTAAGGATTGTAAATGACCAGCTGTCACTATGAGCATTGGTTAAACAGAAAAGTTAACCAATAGAAATGTAATTTAATTGGTAGTTTAAAAATAAAAATTTGCTTTATTTAATATTGGATTTCATGAACTTGATTGGCTGATCCTTACAGAGACACAAAATATGCAAAAGATAAGGTCTGAAATAATCAATATGAAATCTCAGTGTTTTGGAAGATTATAATAATTTGTTTTAAATTAGTTATCAGTTAGCAAACAGTTGTACTATGAAATTCCAGAAGTCACACTGGTATGGAGGCTGGTGCTGCCATGATTCATGTTATGTGAATTTTCCAGGTTATCCAGCTTTGCCATGCTGTCTTTCTCTAAGGAGTCTATGATCAGGTGCTCAGGCATCATCATCTGCAAACTTTTCACTGGTTTTGTTGCAGGGATTTTTATTAGAGGAAAGCTCCACTGTATCATACAATTGGATACATCATAGACCATTAGTTAACAGTCACGTGATATTTAAATATCATCACAAGACTTTCTAGAGACATTTCTATCCTGCTTGTAAATCTCTTTGCAAGGGTTAGAGTAGGTATGAAATAATGTAGCTACTTCAGGAGGGAAACATCTCAAACTGGGCATAGAGGAGTTGGTGGCAGAATGCCTACAGAACCCTGCATGCTTGGGAAGGCATCAGCTCTCACTTTTTCGTATAATTTCTTCTGAAATGCATATTAAAGCAATAATTCTACTTACCACTATAGAATATGATTTTCCATTTTTGAAAATGCAGTCAGTGAGTCTGGGGTGAGGTGGAAGGGGTGGAGCACACCTGAACCAGAGGAGAAAAACTGATGATGGGAGAACATTCTACATCTCTGTGGAGTCAAGGATAATCCCGGAGAAGCCAAATAGGAAACTGCATTCATCTAAAGATGAATGGACAGATATAATTAAGTTGTCCTGACAGGAATCTGGGAGATGATGATGGGACTAAGTAGGATCTCCTGTGTATTTAAATGATGAATGATCCAGTGGGAGTCACATAGATGCCTAAAGATGTCCCAGAATTCATGACAAGTGACTAACACCTACTATGGTATAGCCTGTCTTCACTCCTACTGGAAGAGGAGAAGGGAAGCATTTTTTTGGAGTATGACTTTCCGTAAGGGAGCATCTGCAGGTTACATCAATTTGTTCTAATTTGATGTTAACTCAAACAAATTCTTGCTTGTCTTAAAGAAGAAATTTGAATTTGCTTTTATAGCTAGTTTACAAAAAGTAATTTCCACTTCTAATTCACTCAGTAATGTTTTTACGGTTAAGAAGACACTACATGCAACTTGCAATTGTAATTTAACTAGCTGTAGAGAGCGAGGGGTTTGGAACGGGCGCAGATGGTTGTAAGTGGTTGAAGCCAAGGGTTTAGTGGGAAATGGGATGTATGACTTGCCTTGCACGATGCTGCAGTGTGAATGCTAATGCTATATATGAGTGCTTACATCAGTTACCTACCTATCATGTTGTAATATGGTATGCAATTGGTACAGAAGACACAGTCATTTCTGTGATGTAATGAAGCCAACAAATGCTGGGTTTTGTGTTGCCTGTAACCATTATGCATCCGTTCATATGGGTACAAAGTGACCATAGTACTATCATGCTAACCAGATCCCATCTTCCACCCACCCATGTATGTTCAGGGAATTACACTGTCCTGAAACAGTACTTCTACAGTGTTATGTTCTTTTCAGATTATATTGTCATTTTAAATTCATGTATGTGCTGACTTTCCTGGGAACATGGCCATTCTCTGATACTTGGCAGAGCTCCTTCGGTCACACTGCAGTGGAGGTGCTTATGGCTGAAAGCCACCTCATTTCATTGGGATTGCATGGAGTGTTACAACAGCGTCAACTTCCATCTGCACAGCACAGAAATGCGCAAAATGGCATATTCTGCCTGTTTCGGAAGTTATTTCTGTTTCCTAATGACATATATTTCCTCTCTTCCGCTCAGGGTGACCAAGATGACAGATCTTTCAAGCAGTACAGGACATCAAGTCCTAGCTCTGCTGGCTCGCTGGGCTATGGTCGCTACACTCCAACCTCCCATTCTCCTCAGCATTACAGCAGACCAGGTAATTGAAAAGCAACCTTATTTATTCTCTAGATTTTTCCACTACTTTGTCTTATGTTGTAAGTAGGGTAGACTCAGGTAGACAAGGGTTTAAGGTGGAGTAGCAGTTCATTGCAGTGATTTATTTACTGTGACCAGGGAGTCCCATGGGGAGAAAGGAAACAAGTGCTTCAGAAATGAGCATCTAAGAAAACAAAAACAGGCATCTAGAAAGATTGATTTTATGTATCTGTAAACAGAAGATAGAACAGTTTAAAGGACTTAATCCTGGTCCCATCCTGCCTGAAGCTACACATTCAATCCACAGCTCTTTCACGGTGCAGCATGGTAGCAGTGAATGCACACAAAGCCAAGAGGGTGGCTGAGTGACTTCATATCCCTTCTTCTACCACAGGGTTATGGCCCATGTCTCGTCTCCACAGTGCAAGAGCTGGAGGAGTGACAAATGGTTCTAATGGCTGGATTTTGAAGGCCAAGTTGCTTTAGTTGAGAAGCTTACGGCAATGTTTATTGCAGCATTGGGTTGTAGTGGCAGCGGTGTTAGTGTTCTTGTTGCACAGAGAGGAGGGATCACCCCATTTTGATCTTTGCATGGAGGCCCCATGCAAAGGCCTGTTTGTATTTGGGCATTGTGCAGAGTTTTATTCTTAGAAATAATCAACTAAATTGTTCAAAATTCATTCTAATTTTTCTCAACTCCATCATTTGGGTGGAAAACACAGAGCATTTGTATTATTTCTTGGTGTCTTTTAACTTCATTGGGGATATATTATAATTATAAACTAGTTTGGAAAATTGGGAGTTCTTAATCTTTGCAGTGGAAATTAAAATTTTATGGGTAACACAAACAATTTTTACAGAAATTGAATATTTGTACTAGATTAAGTCTTTGATGAAGTGGAAATGAGATTGACTATCAAAGATATGTTAAAGAGAGGAATGATTAGTCTCCGCTGAAGGTCTGGCAGCTGTGTCATGCGTAAGCTTAGCTGCACACTGTTAAAGCAAGGAGGAAAGACGAAAGAAATTCCAAATTAATTCTAATGTTTTACTGCTTCATTGCAAATTTAGAAGATAGTCATCATAATTGCCACTTTTAATAATTGTCATTAGTCCTCCAAAATACGTTATCAGGACATTACAACAAAGCAAAGATGACTTCTGAGAAGGTTTTTCAAAGTACTTAACCACATGTCTAACTTGCAGAGGATATTCCTTCAAATGCTTAAATTAGCCATGCACTTGAGTGCCCTGGTGCATTGTGAACTAAATCCTGCCAGTGTGCACTGACAGCAGTGAGAACTGGACACACTCGTAGCAGAGTTTTCAACAGAGACAAGGCTCTTCCCATTTCATTTCATTAGATCCATTATGAGCATATATCATTCCCTCTTGCAGCTTTTGAATATGCAGATTTTCCCCTGAGTGCAGCTATGCTTTTTGTGGTGCCGTTTCTGGAATATTTTCTGATGCGTTACATTATCAGCATTTTATATGTACTCTGTCTGCAGAAAGCCTCTGTCCCTTGGCCAACTGCATAGTATGGCCACTGTGACGTTTTTAGCAATAACCAGAGAAGGATGAGGTCTTGAAAATAAACTATATGTTTTCTAAGCATCAGGAGGAAAATGTTCCTGAAAAAAAGGATGGCATTGTAATTTGTGGCTTTCAGTAAGTGAACTAAATAGTTTATTTTCACTTACTCTCTGTTGCCCCCAGCTGGTACTCAGAGTCTTGGTACCAGTAGCTGCATCTCCCTGCCCCAACACCCAAGCCCTACATCTACATTCAGACATCATTACATCCCTTTCTTCAAAGGTAAGGTCCAGGAATGCAAAACCGTGCTGTGATACTGTAGACTTATTCAGATGTGTTTCACTTTTATGTCTGTGCAAGCATGGCTTCCACTTGGATAAAATTTGTCTTAATTTTGTGCAAGTGCTTTCTTGATGTACTGTGTAAGTTTTAAGAACTCAGTGGGTATGGGTTGTTTTATTTTTGCTTATTTTCAGTGAGTGTTGATTGTTTTTCAAAGAGATGGAGGGAAGGAATGAGATTTTCTAATGAAAACGAGGGAGGGCAATAATTTAAAAGTCTGTTTGTTCTCAAATACAGTGTTTACCCTATTCTGCTGATGCTAAATAAATATTATCACAAGCTTACACGTTGGATCGAACATTGGATGATCAGTTATCTAACCTTCTAACCCACATTTAGGGATTCTTCATATTATTTTTAGCATTACCAAAAATGATGCTACATAAGCTTGTTAAATCAATATAACTGCACTGATTACAAATAATGTTATAAAACAGAGTAACTGAGTCTAGTCTCCTTGCCATTAAATTTTTTTGCAGTGGATATTAACTTTTAATGACCTCCATATTGTGGATGTGAGACAGTAACGAGAAATGCCAAGAACTTTCGAGGCAAAGGCTGGTTTTTTTAGCTAGTTAGTTAAACGATAGAAAGAGAAGACATTCAGCTGCCACATGTGTCTTCCCCAAGTCTGTCCTCTCTAGTAACGAGTGGGGAGGAGACATGAGTGATGAATGCCAAACATTTTCAGTGCCTGTTCCTTGACTCTCGTGTACTGTTTGATTTAATAAAGCAAAATTGTTCTTCTTGCCTTTGTAACCATTACAGAAAAGGAAGTGACCTTCTTGCAGGAGCCAGACTTGCAAACTCAAATGAATAGCAGAAACTCATCACCTTTAGAAAAATAACTAATGTATCTTCATTGGGCCCTGATGCATCCAGAAACAGTTCTGTCCGAAGTCAGCTGAATTTCACTGGTATCAGCAGGAACAGAATCAGGCTCAAGTCTCCCAAATGTGATCCTCAAGACAAAATTTTGGAAGAAAAAGCTGATGAGTTTAAACTGATTATTGCCATTTTAAAGCCTACCTGCAAAACTCCTTCCCACACCCACAAGCACTTGCCCCCCTCCAACATTTCTTGGAAGACTGGGACACACCCTGGTATTCCCTGAGGCACTGCATGAACAATTTTTTGATCTGTCCTCTAAATTTAGACGATATCATCCAACCTGGCGCACTGAGTAAGAAAAGCCTCTTTAGTGTGCTGCAGTGCACAGTTTCACTGTATGGAAAGCTGCATTCGAAAGCCTGCCTGCAGTTGCTTAGCAGCATTCCTGTTAAAATGAGTTTCTGTTCAGTGCTACCTGCTGTTGCTCAGAGCAGCAGCAGTTTCTTTGTGCTGCTGTTTGAAGGATGAAAACCTCAAGTGGCAGCTCCTTGTACCCAAACAACTATTAGTAGTGTGATCAAAATTATAATATTTTGCAATTCTGCAGCACTTTTTATCAAGGAGCTAAAATATTTTGCAAGCAGTAGCTTACCATGCCTCACAGCACTCCTGTGAGGCAGGCGAGCCTGTTTATAATTTTCCTATATAGGTAATCTTGAGCCCTGCAGAGGTTGTATAGATTATCCACTGTTTTACACTGAGTTAATGTCTCAGTCCAAAAGGAGTCAGAAGATTTGCCCCCATCCTCTTCAAGTTCTGTGAATTCTCTACTCTGAGTTGTAGACTGTATTTTTTCCTTTCTTGAGAAGCCTTTTGAGGGCGTTGATGTCCTATTTTTTTCTCTTCAAAGTGGTTAGTGTGGGAAGAGTAGGATTGTAGAAATAGTTGCTTTGTATCCAGACCAAGGTTAATGTTGCCACTTCAGTTTTAAAAAAGTGTAATCACGCTCATTTAAAATTTTTTTGTTAAATCCAAAAATAACACACTGCTTAATAATATTAGAAGTAAACTTTGTAAAACCAGCACTCCACAATCATCATAAAAAATATTTCTTTAAGGTTCCAGGAGACAGAAATGTTATTACCCTAGGGAAATTAGAACAGGCAGAATTTTCCTTTTGACTTCACTGAGTTTGCATCATATTCTTTCTGAGAATTATATGGTTCATCATTTTTCCAGTGAAAAATATGGTTACCGAGTTCCTGTTCTTTTCTCAGGATACTGTAGTCTAGCTCCCATGAAGTGTAATAGGATGAGCTATTCTTTATCATGCAGACCAATGATTTGGTTGTGATCTTTTAAGGATTTTTGTCTTCAGAATGTCTTCAAAATAAACCCTGTGACAGCCTCACTTCAAGAAAGCTTCACAGTTCATGCCCTTGCAAATCATATGGTGCGATATTCCAAGTACCTGCACTTGGTGTAACTCTTCCTCTTGAGGTGATGGAGTCAATCAGCATACAGTGCTCAGCCCTACTGAAAAAATGCGTACTTAAAACGTGGTGGAAAGTATCTTGCCTTTCTGGTGCAGGAGCACAGCTTCCAAAGCCCATTTATTTGACTTTGAAAGCTTGAAAAGAATTAGTCATCAAACTTCAAAAACCTTTGTCTAGCTTAGTGCACCATGCGCAGAGATATTAAGGGATCTAGTCTGAGGAGTAGGCTCTTGACATCTCCCTTACTGGGCCAGTGGTATCTGTTTGTTGTTCAATCCTGAACATAGACAGCTCTTACTGTAACTTGTTATCAAATTTCCTGTCCTCCCAGATAAGATAAAAGCTGACTAGCAAGGAGGTATAAACAATGTGATACTTTTCCTGACTACCCCCTGAAAAGGGAGCATGGTCTGAGCTCTGGTCAGTTGGCTCCACACACACAAGGTTAAAAGAGCAGCCTACCCTTTCAGCTGCCAAAAGACACAAGGAAGTTTTCGTGGTTGACACTCAAGTTCAAAGTAAGCCTTTCCAGATTCTTCCCAAGTTAAACAAAATCCAGGGAAGAGTTCATGATTCTGGTTTTTTGCTCTGCACTGACCAGTAGAGCAGATCACAGCCTGCAGCTGCTTGTGGCAGAAGACAAAACCAAAAGTTTGAAAAATCTCTCTCTGGTAGTTTTATTTTCTCTGAGACCTTATTTGAAGTTCTTCAGTGTATGCCAGGCAAACCTTGAAAGAGACAAATTCTTGGCAAAGTCCCATTTTAGAGATTTTTATTATAGGCTAGATTAAATGACTGTCTGGAGTTCCTACACATGAACTTTCTACATCGGTCTTCAGTTTGCATTATTATTAAATACTTATTTTTGTATGCAAAATGTGAAATACAACTGCTCCTTTGTGTTTGTCCAAATCTGTGGCAGAATTATAAATATAATTTAAATGTGCATCAGCTTGTACAAGTGGGCTGCAAGAAGAACCTTTTCCCTCATTTCATCCTTAATTCTTCCCTTTCGAGCAGCTTAGAGGTGATGGCTTTGCAAACTGCTCCACCCAGGTGATCCTTGCATTGAGCAGTTCGCAGATTTGCTGTCCCCTGGTACTTGTGCTTGCATCTTGTTTTCTTACAAGTTTATTCCTCTTAATCAATGCTTCCCCCTGATTCCCCGCTGACACCCTACCCTATCCCTGCAGAATGACTCTCTATATAGTGTATGATGCCAGCACCTTGGGGTCACTACTCAATGAAGTAATTACTCATGCAAGTCATATATGAATACGAGTTTTTAAAAATAGGCTAGTTTTAAGTAAATGAGGAATTAGTACACTGTGAAAGTCACTTGAAACCTTTTCTTTTTAAATTAAAAAATTCCATTAGTAACATCACTTTGGGATCAAGATTTTTAAGGTTATTCGAGTTGTAAGGGACCTTACTTAAGTAAGTGTCTACCACTGCTCTTTGTGTTTGAACTTGGAGTGACATTGAGACTTCTTCCATTAGTAGGGGTGGCCAAGCATCTGGGCAGCAAGCAGCAAAGAAAGAGGGAGTTAATAAATGGGTAGTGAAAACCGGTCACCAATTCTTTCCTTCCAAGAGCAAAGCAGGAATCAAGAACCTGGATAACCGTCTGGTTCCTTGTCTGAGGACAACTTGACTGCAAGATGGTGGCCACGCACCAGGTTTTTAGTAATGCCACAATTCTTCCATTACTTTTTGGAAGGACCGTAGGCTATCATCACGCACAGATGTGATTTCAGTTTCTCAACTGCTCTGATTAAATTTTTTTCAACACAAAATCATTGTTATTGAGTACACAGTGGTAATGGATGTAGAATTTTTGAGGTTTAGTTTTTCACAAACTGTGAAAGTAACAGACACAAAATTTAGAACATCTTAGTTAGTGTATCTTCATGAGATACACAGCATGCTCTTTTGACCTCGTCTGGCCTGCTTCTGCTCCTGTTGAACTCAGTGGCACTACCCAGTTGACTTCAGTGGTGCATGTCAAGGCTGGTTTTGGTGACAGACCGATGACCAGGTGTCCACTGCTTGTCAACAGAGGCAAAGGTTCAGCATCCATGGGCATGGCCTAGACAGTTATGGTAATCCAGTAGTTTTATGGTTATAAAACTTCCCCTCTCTGAAAGCAGAACTCAGTTACAGATCTAGCGCTCTGAGCTGCTGCACTTTCTTTACCCCCAAAAACTTGCTATAATTTCATCATTACTAGCCATTAAATTTGTGCTCCATCCACACTAAAACAATAACAGCGAAATAAGAACCATTTTATGTTAGAATAAATGTCATGTTTGGCTTCCAGTTGCTTAACAGTGCTGTAAATTAATTGGATTTTACAAGTCCCAAAAAAGTAGAGCTTTACTTTTTTGTTTGCCAAGCAGCCCTATAATGCCATAGAGTGTGCTTTGGGGAAATAAGCTAAGAGGAAATGAATGGCACCTAATCAACATTTGACAAAACAAATGGAAAAATGAATACAGATCAATCGTATGTGTATCTGGAAATCTGGTGAAGTGACTATGGCATTATAGATCCATGACTTGATAATCCAACCTTGTTTGCATAAATATAAAATGCTGTGGCATGGTACCTCCAGGAGAAGTTTGCAATTAAGAACCAAATTTCAGCATCTGTTTTTGTCACTGGTATATGCAGGAATATTTGACTTAACCATAACATCTGTTTTTTGGTCTAGTCCTGCTTTGAAATAACTTAAACACTACTGAATGATTTCATTACTGGTTTCAGGGGCAGGCCATGAGCCATAGCATTAAACTTTTCAAAAACTCGATTGATAGATTATTCAGTTAAGGCTATGCAAAACACATTACAAGATTGTGGCTGTTCTTATCCTTTTATTTTCTTCATTAAAGTGTTGTTAAAAGAGAATCTTTAGTTTCAAAGTGGGGCAGTTTAATCTGATATTATCTATCAGACATGCATTATTGATGAAATGTTTGGAGACTGAGCCAATACCCTGTGCTGAAAAATAATGGGGTTTACAAAAAACATATATTTAAAACTGTTGGATTAACAAGTCATTCTGAACAAGCTTTTATGCTTGAAATACTCTACTTTGCTTTCCATTTTTTCTTTTATCTGCTTTCTTTGCTCTTCCCCTTGGAGGCAGTGAAAGTGGTCGGAGCACTCCAAGCTTATCCATGTACTCAGACAGCAAATCTTCACCTTCTGTCTATCAGCAGGCTCCTAGGCATTTCCATATTCCAGGTAGGCATTCACTGCTTAGCTTTGATCTTCAATTGCTGGCACCTGTTTATTCTCTTCTGAATGTCTTTTTGCATTGATTTGTGAATTTCAAACTGCAAGAGAAGAAAATGTCTGATAAATGAAAAACTGTTACCTGTTAAACTTCTTCTCAGAAATAAAGGAGTTAGAGAGTTGTGCGCTGATGTGTGTAAAAAAAATGTGTTAGAGGAGGCATGCAGTGACAAATGTTATTAAGCCTACAAAGATACAATTATTTGTAGTGCCATGGCTGCATAGGTCTGTTGAATTTGCGTGCAGGAGGGAAGGCTGAAGGGGGTTTTGGATTTGGTTTTCTCCTTATCCATCTGCTCTCTGATTTAAAGAGTCATTTGAATATAGATTTTAAAAATAGCTGAAAGACTTTAGAACTCCGGGAAACTCACTGTGGTGGTATCTTTGCATATGTACTATACTGTTTTCAAGTTCACATTCAGTCAACGAGCACCTTAAATTTTTGTCCACGCTGTTTAGCTTTCTGTCTTCTAAGCACATCTACCTGCTCAGTGGAATACTTTGTTTATTCATGTTTAGCCTCTGGGGTTAACATTTCTGTAAACACACCATCATTAGGAATAGCATCTGCTCAGGTCTGTAGTATTAAGTAAATCTGATGTCTGTACAAGATGATATGGGAACCCTGGACTGTGGCTCTGGGGGCTTTCAAAACATCCCTGCAAGGCCAAGTTAGCTATACAACTCAAAATTTAGACAAACTATAGGATTTCCTATAAGAATATTGGGCATTTGCAGTATAAACATCTATATCTGTTACAGTAGTCTGTTCTACCTCTATATGAATTTTATTTTAAGTGGTGACAAGTGCAGCCGATTTCTCTTTGTTGTCTATGAAGTATACATTGGTAGTGCGGATATAAACACCTAATAGATGCCACCTGAGGTGTCTTAAAGCATTTTGAGGGACTTAGGGGGTGTTATGCTGTATAGGTAGGCACAGCCAATATTTTAAATATATAAAGATTTTTTATATAT